CATTTTCTGATATCCTCTTCTATCCCTTTTTTCAGAGTACTTTAATTTTCACTGTATAGGTCTTTTGCTTCTTTTGTTTGATTGATTCCTAAGTATTTCATCTTTTTAGATGCTATTGTGAAAGGTGTGGTTTCTCTAATTTCTCTCTCACTCTGTTTGTTACATTTGTACAGGAATGCTATTGAGTTTTGAGAGTGAATTTTATACCAGCTATGGTACTGAATTTGGTTATTAAATCCATGAGTCTTTTGGTGGAGTTTTTGGGGTCTTCTATGTAGAGTATCATGTCATCTGTGAATAATGATAATTTGACTTCTTCCTTTCCTATCCTTATTCCTTTTATTTCTCCCTCTTGTCTAATTGTTCTGGCCAATATTTCCAGAACTATATTAAATAGGGGTGGTGACAGTGGACATCCTTGCCTTGTTCCTTATTTTAAAGCGAAAGCTTTCAGTTTTTGACCATTTAGTATAATGTTAGCTGTTGGTTTATCATAGATGGCTTTGATCAGCTTGAGGTAAAGACCATGTATTCCTATTTTCTGTAGGGTTTTCATCATGAATGAGTGTTGGGCTTTATTGAAGGCTTTTTCTGCATTGATGGAGATGATCATGTGATTTTTGTCCTTGCCTCTATTGACATGATGTATTACATTAATTGATTTGTGTAAATTGAATCATCTCTGCATTCCTAGTATGAATCCCAATTGGTCGTGGTGTATAATCTTCTTGATAATTTGTTGTATTCTGTTTGCTAGTATTTTATTGAGCATTTTTCCATCTATATTCATTAGGGAGATTAGCCTGTAGTTCTCTTTCTTGGTGGGGTCTTTCTCTGGTTTTTGTGTCAGGATAATACTTGCCTCCAGGAATGAGTTGGGGAGAAATCCTTCCCTTTCAATTTCATTAAAGAGTTTGAGAAGAATTGGTGTTAAATCTTCCCCAAATTGCTTGTACAATTCAGTTGTGAATCCATCAGGACTCGGGCTTTTCTTTTTTGACAAGTTTTGATTACATTCTCAATTTTACTGGCTGATATTGAGTTATTCAGGATTTTTATATCTTCTTCATTCAGCTTTGGTAATGCGTATGTATCATATGTCCATTTCCTCTGTGTTTTCCATCCTATGAGGATAAAGATTTTCAAAGTAGGTATTGATGATTTTCTGAATTTTTTCAGAATCTGTAGTGATTTCACCCCTTTCATTCCTTATTGCATTTATTTCAATTTTTTCTTTCATTTTTTTGATAAGGTTGGCTAGGGGTTTATCTATTTTATTTATACTTTCAAAGAACCAACTCTTCGTTTCATTAATTTTTTGTATTTATTTTTAAGCTCCATTGCATTAGTTTCTGCTCTGAGCTTTATAATTTCCTACCTTATTTTGGGCTCTGGGTTTGACTTGCTGTTCTTTTTCTAGGAACTTGAGGTGCAGCATAAGGTTGTTTATTTGTGTTTGTTCTGTTTTCCTGAGGTGGGAGTTCACTGCTATAAATTTCCCATCTGAAGACTGCTTTCATTGCATTCCACAGGTTCCTGCAGATTTTATGTACCTTTTTGTTTGATTGTAAATAGTGTTTAATCTCTACTTTGTTTTCATCTGTTATCCTTTGGTGTTCAGGAGGATGTTGTTTAATTTCCAAATGTTTAGGGAGTTTTTGTGTTTTCTTTTGTCATTAATTTCCAATTTCATTGCACTGTGGTCTGATAGTATATATGGGATAATTTCAATTCCTTTGCATTTACTTAAACATGTTCTATGTACTAGTATATGGTCTAATTTAGAGAATGTCCCATGTGCAGCTGAGAAGAATGTGTATTCTGATGCTGTTGGGTGGAACACTCTGTAAAGTTCTACGAAGTCCATGTTCACATATTTGGTTAAGTTCTGTTATTTCTTTCCCAATTTTTTGTCTAGTTGATCTATCTCTTTGTGACAATGGTGTGTTAAAGTCCCCTGTCATGACTGTGCTGCTACTTATTTCATTTTTCATGTCTGTTAAAATTTGTGTTATATAGTTGGGTGCTCCTGTATTTGGTGCACAGATGTTTATGATTCTTATCTCTTCTTCTTCAAGCTTCTCTCTCACAAGTATGTGGTGACCTTCTTTATCTCTTTTGATTGTTCTTGGTTTGAAGTTCACGTTGTCTGCAAACAGAATAGCTACACCTGCTTTTTTCTGGGTTCCTGTTACATGGAGTATTGTTTTCCATCCTTTAATTTTCAGTATGTGAATTTCCTTTTAATTAAATGTGCTTCTTGTATACAGCATATATTTGGATTTTGTTTCCTGATCCACTCTGCTTGTCTGTTTCTTTTGGTGGGTGCATTGAGAGCATTTACATTGATGGTTATAACTGATATGTAGTGGCTTATCTTTTTCATGGTATTTTCCTGCTGTTGGAGCCTCCTTTTTCCATTTGTTTAATTGCTTGCTCTACTTGTTGGTTTCTTTCTGTTGTTCTTGAAGTTGCAGTCTGCTTTGTCTCTTTCTTTTAGTACTTTTTGTAGGATTGGTTTGGTGCTCATGAATTTCTTCAGTGGTTCTTTATCATGGAAATATTTTATTTCTCCATTAAATTTGAAGGATAATTTTGCAGGGTATATCAATCTGGGTTGGAAGTTATTTTCTTTCAGTACCTGAAATACTTCACTCCAAGCTCTTCTTGCCTTGATGGTTTGTGTTGAGAAGTCTCTTGTGATTCTGATAGGCCTACCTTTATAGGTGATCTGTTTCTTTTCTCTAACAGCTTTTAATATTCTGAGATTTGTTGAGTTTCTGGGATCTTCATCACTGTATATCTGGGTGTAGATTTATTTTGGTTATGATTAACTGGTGCTCTATATGGTTCATTTATCTGGATGTCCAATTCTTTTACCATGCCTGGGAAATTTTTTGGGTATTACTTCTGCAAATAGTCTTTTTATGTCATTTGTGCTGACACCTGCTGTTTCATTAATACTTATTAATCTGACATTATTTTTCTTTGCTTCATCTTGCAGTTGTTGAATTGTTATTTCCCGGTTCCTTGTTGTTTATAATAGATCCCACCTTTCATGTTCGTGAGTGGCAATGCTGTCTTCAAGGTCTGAAAGTATCTTCAGCTTTGTTCATTCACTTTTTCAAGCTTTCAATGGAATTTTTAATTTCCTGGTTATCTGTTTGCATCTGTTTCATATCTTCTACTCCTTTTCTATACTGTTCCCTGAAGGTTTCCATGAGTTGTGTATGCTCTTCTATTTTCTTGTCAATGTTGTCTTTGAATATGCTGAACATTTCTTTCATTATTGCCATTTCTTTTTTCACCTGAGACATTATTTCTCATCTGATGTCTTCTACGGCCTGAAGGAGTTGTTTCTTTATTCATTTGCTATTATTTCAGAAATGTCAGGTGTATGACTTCCAGGCTGTTCTGTGTTGATGTTTCCTGGACTTGTTTTGGGTGGTGTGGAGGTCTGGGACTGCATTTGTTTCTTCATTTTGTCATTTTTGAAGATCCAGAGGCTCCATGCAGTGCAGCCTCACTCTCCTGATTGTGTGTGAGTGGCAGGGCGAAAGTCTGGAGATCTCCAGTGCTCAGTGTAGCTCCTGTGCTGGTGAGTGGTGGCAAGTTGTTGTCCCAGATGCTCCCGACATTTCTTGCATTCAATTGGCTCTCAGAAATGTGTGCGAAGGGCACGGGATGCTCGCCGGCATTCCTGAGACTGTCTAGGGTTCGGCCCAGCTTCTACAAGAGTAAGCGGGGGTGCCGGTCATTTTCACCAAGGCTTCATATATTGCCCAGGACAGAGCCTACTTCTCACACTGGCAGGGGAGGGTTGAGGGTGAACTCCTCCAGGCCACTGACTCTGTCCAGGTTTCAGCTGAGCTTCTAGGAGGGGTGCGAGTTGTTCTGGCAGTGACCACCAAGGCCCCAGAAGTTGTCCAGGGATCCACATGCCTCACACCCTAGTGGGGGAGGCACCAGAGTGGCTCCCCGGGGTTCCTAAAGGTGTCTGATGTTTGGCCCAACCCCAGCAGACACACTATGGGTGTGGTGGGTAGCCACTGAGGCCCCAGAGGGTGCCCGAGGTTTCGCTTGGCTTGCACATGTGTCAGGGAGGTGAAGCCACGACTCACCGGGCTTCCTGAAGATCACATGCTACTCTTGATTGTATTTATGAAGTGCAGTGAATGACGCATCTGGGGGTCCTATTCTTCAGCCCTTGCTGAAGTTCTTTGGCCATTCTGACCTGGTTGCAAGAGGATCAAGTGTTAGGCCAATCTCCTCCTTTTCTCCAACCCATAGTTCACTTTGTCCTCACCCTCTTCTTCACTTGTTGACTTCATCATCTGTTAGGTCTTTTTGTCAATGGCCATGAGTGGACATCAATCAGGACACCAGGGGCTTTGGCTTCATCCTTCATAATAAAAGTGCAAGACAACACCTATTTCCAAAGAAGCCCACCTCATCCATGTTAAAAATGTGTTCAGGCTTATAGCCCCCTTCCTCTATGATGGATTTGAACATGTCATTCACTTACTCCTCAGCTCTAGCTTTACTGCACAGGCAGCTTCTCCATGCAGAGAAATACTCTGGAGCCCAAAACATCTCTGAAATTTGTTAAACCAGCCCTTGATGGCACTAAATGGGGTTGGTCTAGTGGGAGAAGCACTCAACAGTCCTGCTTCTGCATTGTCATCCTCATTTTCATCCTCATCACCATTGTGAATGTCCATGCTTTCTACAAAACTATCATAAACTTTCTTGGCCTTCATCCAGATGGTGCTGATGTTCAGTGAGATATTCTTTTGCCTGCAGTCATTTATCCACAGGGCCAATGCAGACTCCATCTTCACAATGACGTTATTGAAGGAAGTGACCACTCTCTTTGCAGTCTTGTTAAAAGTCATTGTTGCCATAGACCTAATATTCTTCTCATCTTTCTTTACGTAGCAAACAGTAAATTCGTTGATCCCATAATGGTGACCTACAGCCATGTAGCTTTTGTCTTCCTTTCACATGTCAAGAAGTTCCACTTTTTCTTTGATGGTAAGCATCTTCCTCTGGTGCTTGGGTTCACTGTCAGAAGTCTTAGAAGGAGCAGAGCATTTGGGTGGCATCACAAGGCTTGAAATAAATTCAAGCCTTTAAGAAAATTTCACAAAACACAACATCACAGAACAATATTATGCACAGCAATCAAATGTTGATGTGAAGCAGACAAGGAGAGATGCTGAACACATGGGCACAGTGCAGGAGAGAAAACAGATTGATGTTACTGTCACTGAGTCAATCAGTGCCCAGGCTGGAAGACACAGACACAACCACAAACACACTCAGCCACCTTCTCTCTGACAAAGGGGCCAAACATGTTCACTGGAAGAAAGATAGTCTCTTTAGTAAATGGTGCTAGAAAAACTGGCTCTCCACATGCCAAAGACTAAAACTAGACCCATGTCTATCACCATGCACTAATCTACATTAAAAATGGATCAAAAATCTAAATATTAAAAGAGAAACACTAAATCTTGGAGACATAGAGGTAGGGTTAGGGTTCATATATAAAGCCCAAACTGTACAGGAAATAATTCAAAGAATCAACAACTAGGATCTCATCTTACTAAAAAGGTTTTGGGGCTGGGGATATAGCTCAGTGGCACAAGCATCTGCCTAGCAAGCTCAAGGTTTTGAGTTCAATTCCCAGTACCCCCCCACCCCCACAAAATAGCTTTTGTACATCAAAAGAAGTCACCAATAGAGTGAAAAGACAACCCACATACTGAGAAAACAGTTTAGTCAACTGTCCTTCAGACAAAGGACTTATATCTAGAACATATAAAGAATTGAAAAAAATTAGATCCCCCCCCAATTCAAAGACCCAATCCAAAAATGTGCATCTGAGATGGAATAAGCACTTCTCAGATGAAAAAATACAAATGGCAAATAAATACAAGAAAAAATGTCCAACATCACTGGTCATTTGGGAGATGCAAATTAAAACAACACTGAGATTTCATCTCACCTCAGTAAGAATGACTATCATCAAGAAATCAACCAACAACAAATGCTGGGGGGGCTGTGGGGACAAAAGAACCCTTCTTCACTATTAATGGCAATGTAGGCTGGTGCAACCACTTTGGAAATTAATCTGGAAATTCCTCAAAAACTTGGGATTCAAGGTTCTATTTAACTCAGCTATTCCCCTTGTGGGCATTTTCCCAGAAGAATTAAAAACATTCTACCACAGTGATGTATGTGCACCCATGTTTATAGCAGCACATTTGTCATAGCTAAATCTTGGAAACAACCCAAATGCCAATCAACTGAGAAGTGGATAAAAAAGATGTAGTATGTTCATGCAATGGACTATTACTCAGCTGTAAACAAAGATAAACTTGAGGCTTTTATAGGTAAATGGATGCAACTGGAGGCCATACTCATAGGTGAAATAAATCAGTCCCAGGTGTGTAAACATCATATTGTCTCCCTACTGTAAGAACTTGAAAGAGTAAATAATATCTAAAAGGTACATTATCTATTGTGAAAGAGAAAGAAACTGCTCAATAGGAAAAACAACTGGGATGAGGGAAAGGAGAAAAGAAAGAAAGAAGGAAAGGAATATATATATATATTCCTTAGGTATATATACCTAAGATAGCTAAGATAATTGTACAACTAAGTTCTATTGGTCTATTGGTTTATTGAGAGGAACAGTTAATGTTTAATTGTTTGATCAATGTTTATACATATATCTGGTAATCTCAGCTTTGAAGATAGCAACCATTGTTAATTTCCTATCATCTTGTTTGGAAATTCTGTATCACTTTAATTGTTTTGGTTATTTTGTTTTTGTTCTTTTCTCTTTAAAATAAAGAAACTTGTTATAATTATGTTACTATATATGATACTATTTAATTATGTCTAGAGAGTAAAGACATAATAGTTTTACTTTATGGAATTTTTGGAGAGTTTAACAACCCCACAGAAAAGCAACAGATACACTTATGCCACACAAACTTACTTATACACTCAAAACATTAAAACATATCAGTTATTATTTAACGTTATTAAAGTCATCAAATTGTTTATTCTGGTTCTCTGTTCTTTTATCGATTTCTTTTTAAATAGGTTCTTCAGATATAACTGAAATAAAATGCATCTGTGAAACACACAAACCAGTAAATACCATCATAAATAGAATACATATAACTATGAACACAATAACAATTTTCTCTGCCCATTTGTAATATATTCATCCTCTTTATTATTTAGTCTAGTCTCAAATACCAGTGAAACACATTATGTGCTTTTTTTCATATTATATTCTTAAGAATTTGAAATCAGATGAGATTTCTGATTCCAAATAAGGTTAAAATTAGAAACCTCTGCCTACTCAGGGACATATGTTGTTAAATCATCTAGTATATACTTATGAGGAACATGTTTTAAAGAAAATATATTTATGAGAAAAATCATAGTTATATATATTTCAAAATCCAACAGATTCAAAACAGTGGCTCATGGACAGAAAAACGATCCATCATGAAATATAAAACCATTTATTCACTTTCCACCACATGAATATGGAGCACTTAATCATTCGTCGTTCTGTACTGATAAGCACCAAGGGACTGACTGTGGCATAGCCATTGCCAATCAGCATCAGCACACAATAATGAATGCGGTCACTGTTCCACATGACTGAAGAAGTCAACCCGATAGCAGAGTCCAAAGTGTACATGACAATAAAGAAACTCATTAGCAACAGAACTGTCCGTGCGGCCCTTTCTTCTGCAGATGATTTTGGAGACAGGCTGGTGTTGTGAAGATGCTGAGACTGCGTTTTATGCTTGTACAAGAGAATCACCATGTACAGACTTGAGAGCATCATGAGCCCTATACAGGACATGTGCTGGAAACTCAGCAGTGAAAAAAACATGTACTTGAGGAAGGAATTAATGGGCAAAAGAGAGCAAGATTTAGTAAGAAACATGAGACTGTGTGAGGTCACATTGGGAGTGGCAACAGTGGAGATTAACATACGACTACTGATGACCATATTGAGGACCCACAAAAAGAGAAAGCGACACAGGCTCTGATGAAAGGATTTCTGCTTGAATTTTGCCAAACAGGAGCTTCTGGGGCTGAGGGTGATGGCCTGGAGGACACTGAGCAGGCAGGTGGTACAGATGGAGAGGTCCCGCATCAATCTATTCAAATAGATAATAGATGTACATGTGATGTCATCATTCAAATCCTGATACCCAAAATTGTCTATAGCTATGAAACCCACAGTCAGGAGCATCACTATGTGGATAAAGGCCAGGTGACCAACTGTCAGATCAGTAGCCTTAGGCCTGTGCCCCAGAAAGAATGTGAGAACATGAAAGAGAAAGAGAACCATGTTGGCAATGATCCCAACGCTGACTTCAAAGAAAACCATGTGCTGCATGCCAATGAAACAGGAATATTTGCTGTTTTTATTCACCTTCATGATGTAGAAGCAAAGAGCATATACCTGAAAAGAAAAGTGCCAAAAATTCCTTATCACAAATATCACCTCCTTCATCCATCTCAGCCAACACTTGATTTCATCAGAATATACGGATTCAACCCAGTGTGTCATTTTCCCACACATGTACTCAAGGCCACCTCATATCCTCCAGCATGTTTCCAGGTTCTATCTCTGTCCCACCGTTTCCTAATCACGGCTGGATTATGGGTCTCCCTGGACTCGCACACTACATCTGTAATACAACTGTCATATTAGGGAAAGTGTTTTAACACTTTTTTCTCACTTTAAATTTTCAATAGTCACTGTTTTCCTTGCCTTTGTACCTGCATTTACTTATTTGGTCATTTAGGACTCTTTGTATGATGAGCCTAGGAAAAACAACACATATTTTAATCTAATTATCTAGTTATCTCTACCATTTATGAATCACACACAGTCTCAAAATACAGAAGCTTGAATCATCTTGTACTTAATGTTCAGAAATGATATACAATTATTAAATAAAAATCTACATGCTATATATTATAAAGTATATAGGTAATGTTTAAATAAATGTCATTTATAGATATATAACAACACTTAAGACTAATGTAAAAATGTATTAAAAGAATGAGATGAAATAAATTAAAAAGTGGATAAAAATTTGTTTTCCCATGTGATATCTCTGAAATTTAAATATCCTTTAATTTTGTTTTAAATAATTTACTTTTAAAGAATATATAACCATTTAAAATTGCTCAATGCTGATATTAAAATTTTCTAGCACCCAGCAAGATATGACTGCATGATTTTCAGCATGTCTTAGGGGGCTGCTTCCACTAAGAGAAATGACTAAGTCTTGGCAGATATGTGCTGTTTCAGTAGGCTTACACACTCATGGTATCATGAGATCAGAGGCTCATTATGTGAAACAAGCAAAAATTCTTTGGAGTATAAAGGTGGTCTCCTTTTTTGAGAGCACTAGTCTGCAAAAGTGACAGAATTTGAGGCAGTCATACTCACTCTCTCATTTTAGCTCCCATGAAACACTCCAAGAGATGATAAAAGTATGGGAAATCATCTAACCCTTTCCAAATTTGATAGATCATAAATATCTCCATTAATAAAACACATATTCCAAGTATCTTTGTACTGTTATTATGTGTAATGTGAAGGAAGTTAATGTAGCAAGTTGTGTAATAAGATATTATTTTGCAAGGAAATGTATACTGGAATACATGAATATCTCAAGAAAACAAAGTAAAAGTAATCCTACATTCACACTCATGCTTCATCCAGCTCACATACTCCTATCATCACATAGTTGAGGAGCTCAGGCATGGGACCAAGAAGTTTCTCCATCAGCACAGTGATCTTGGAGACCCTCATGGTATCTAGGAGGCCTAACACAGCAAGCACAAAAATCTAATTTTACACATTGGAGGAAACAAGACGGCCTCAAAGAGTCTGGAGTTTAATCAATAATTGAATAAATCACAAGGAAAGTAACACAGAAGACCTGAAAGAGTTCTCACGTACAAGAACACACTGGAAATAAGATAGGAAAAGCATTTTGGGGCATAATGAGAATCAGTTAAACACACAAGAAGGAATATTGAAGGGAAACTTGCTCATCCTTTTAACTTGCCCTTTTCAGGAGTTCTCATAACTCACAGTGACATCTGTTGTATCCTCAGGAGAAATATAATACAATGCGTATTCTCATTAACAGTATGATGCAGGGTTAATTTGCTGACTTATGTTATCGCTACAATTTAAAAGACCACGGGCAATCTTATAGTACATGTCTTGAAGTAGGTTACAATTAGGAAGTCTCAGGTCCATGTGCTTGAGCCAATGGCAGGAGAGACCCAGGTCAATGAGAGATGGTGAAGACTCTGCTACCATGGTCCAAACTTGGGTGGTTCTGCCTTGTACATGAACACATCACAGTGTCATCGATTACTAGATGGTCAGCCCTGAGCACATAGCATTGGTAAAATGTACCGCTACCAGGAAAAGGAAGAAGAGAATTTCAGGATTTTATGCGATCATGAGCAAGAGGCATACTGTCCTCCAAAAATAGTGAAATATCTATTGTTCCTCTGAATTCAAAGTCTGTAACAAATGCCTTCGGGAAAGTGTCAGTACTTCAGGGCTATCTACAGAATCAAGATGCTTAAAGACATTTTGAGCAATGTCCAGAGAAGATCCTGCTATTCAAAAGTACAAAAACAGGAAAACCTAGTGCCACTTTGTCATAAGACAGGCTGTCATCCCTCAGAAATCCAAACAGTTGTGCATGATATTTTTCTAGTAATAAAATAAAGGCTATTTTCTGCTCTTGAAAACCAGTATTTGCTTTTAGTTGTCCCCATCACATTTGTAATTCATTACAAAGCAGTCTGCTACACATTTACCTATTGCCAATAAGTGATTACATAATCAACATTGGATGGAGGAATCTAACACACACATATAGAGATCAGGGAAGTTGAAAATATTTTGTTCTAAATTTTTTCCTCACAAATGGGATAATGCATTATTAATAAAAACAGAGGCAATATTTTTATAATAAAGACAGATAGACAAACTAACAATAGACATAAACGGTCTTCCTGTTACTCCTAGCCAAATTCTGGCAGAATATATTCTTAAATTATTTTAGGAAGGCATGGGAAATGTCTATTGTCATTAATTTGAATCCTTTATTGTTAGTATCACTGCAGTTTAACTTTCTTTGTGCTCTAATGTGAGATTTCATATCTCATATGAAATGGGAGCACATGGATAACAGCTGACATCATTAAGAAGAGATTCATAAAATGAGTAGTGTAAAAAGAAATGTGAATATGGTAAAACGCTAATACCTATTTTGTAGGAACGAAGTTAAGCTCGGTAAAGAAGATGCTTTAGAAGATGAGCCTTATTAAATAGTAAACAATTTAAAGCTTTTTAAATGAGCAAACACACATGTCATTGAATTATACTTTGAAATGCTTTATAAGGATTGCAGAAGAAACCAGAAAATTTCATGAAGACTCATAATGGAAGATTCTTTTATAAGGAGTGTAAATACAAATTTTAAAGCAACATTCTAAGCTGACAATATCTAATCTGAGAATTGATTTAGATAGTAAACCAAAGTCACTTAATTCAGAGGAAAGAATGCTTGAAATTAGTTTAGTATTTCACGTGAAAAAATCCATTAAATTGATGAGTCAATAAGTTAAAGCAGTACGACACTTATAAAACCAATTCTATTTGCACTGCACAGTAAATCACCCTCTGAGTTACACAATGGCTAAAACTGGAGAATATACTGCCTACCCTACTAATTCTGCATCCCTTGAATGTAGACCCACTTACCTACTGGAACATGCAGAAGGGTCCAGCACACCAGACAAGAGACGGCATACTTTAAGAAAAAATTATCATTAGCTCATCTCTCAGCAGGCCTGTAATTTTAGTGTCAGCAAAAAGGTGAGAAGACCCCACTGGGGAGGACAGAACAAAGAAGTCACCAGTGGAGCATTTCATCGGTCTCTCAATATTATTTTATTCTCTGTGGGATCATAGCCATCTGGGCAGAGCTGTGCTCAAACTTTTCTCTAAGTTCCCTTGATACATATTATGAAGGGGGAGAAGGGGCAGAATCAAACATTCCACATTGATTCTCTCATTTTGATGATAAGTTTCAATTAGACCAAGCCCAATACTCTTTGTATAATGATTGCGCTCTGGACTAAGAGACTGCTGGAAGCTCCCGTGAGTTCCCAGGGGTTCTAAAGTTCATCTCCAAACAATGTGTCATGGGCATCTCCTTCCCTAGTCCATTTCCAAGTGGAACCTTTCACTTCTATGAATTAGTGGTCACATACCTTATGATTTCCAAGTTTTTGGATTCCAATTTCAACCAGTGTGACAAACTTAACTATGAATTTAAAGAGAAATAATGTGACAACTGGAAAAACACAAGCAGAGGAAATGAATGATGGTTGAGGTAATTAATCATAGGCGATTACACAAAATTGAAGCTAAGGCATAGCCTCAGTTGCTCTCCATTCTACACAGAAGCTGAATGATCGGCCCTCATTCTCACTAAGAGGTAGGAAGAGGCTAATACTTTCTCTGGAAAACATGATATGAAAATATTTCTCAGTCATAATGTATTTTACTAAAACTATAGACAGAATTGTGAACTATGGAACAAAATGGGACCTTGTGAACTAGTAAAAATAGATAAAAAACGCAATACTTTACCTAGAATCTTTGATGTCTCAACTACCAGAATTATATTATATTTTAAAGCAACTAGTATCAATACGCCAAATGTTAATACAACTATAATAAATGAGAAGACTAGGTATTTCTTGAGACAAATGGAAACTCAGTCCTGCAATATTAACTATATAATATTTTACATGTTAGGCCCACAGAGGATCAGACATTACAGAAATAGTCCTCCAAGAAGTACATGTCAAAACTCATGTAATACATAAAAAAGTGTTAAAAATGTAATGTATGTAACTAGGTTTTCAAGCATTATTTCATATCAGCAATGAGAACACAAGAAAGAAAGACAAAATAGAAAATCTTTGGAGAAAAAAGTGGCCCAACTTGACAAACGTCAAAAAAAACTCAACCAAGAAATTGAAATTTGCTACAAAAAAAGAATTAATTAAATGATATCTCAGATTTCTGCAAAGATGTCAGAGTGCTGAGCACTGGCAAAACAGCCTCTGAGCAATTTGGAGTCCAGACACTGAAAAATAGCAATATAGACAAGAAAAGGAGGGAAATGCATCCCTGGGACCCAGCAAGGATCTGAAGCAAGAACTGGTGTCCAGCTGAAAAGTGAAGTGAGAGACTTCAATCTGGAAGAGGGAGGTTACAAGTGGTGCTTTCTCCCTGAGCGTTTATTCATGGTGTGGGAGGGACATTTTGAATCTTCAGAGGCATGATGATTACTGGCCACTCCAGAGGCCTCCATGGAGAAATGTACCAGTGAAACAGAGCAGAATAAGCTGTGGACTGCAGTGGTCAGTGAGTGATTCCAGCTTGGTTTGGGAGTCCCCAGGAGGGTGTGATTGGTTGGACACCATTTTGGAAAGTGGCAAACTGAACTCAGTACATGTACTCATAGCAGCTTCGGTTTGGCTCCATCTAGTGGCTCCCAGTGTCAGGGTGAGGTACAGCTGTGGAGACACCCAAGGTCTGGGAGCCAAGTTCAAGTCCTCAGGAAGCGCCCAAGGTACTACCAACTCAACAACTTGGGTTACAACCCACAACCAGAAACCAGATGGAGCCTGAGCTTCAGTGGAGCTACTGAAATTAGCAGCTACTGATAGCTACTGCTACCCAGTGTAGGCATGCTGGACTTATTCACCAATCTGACATACTGGGATCAGTCAGCACAGATCTTGGCTTTGTCTCCTCTCTTTGTCTACCAGTGACACCAGAGACAAGCTTTGAAATAGACTTTTTTTTTCTTTTCTATTTCCTTTGGTTTTTGTTCTTTTTCTTGCTTTTATGAGGGTGAACATTGTTTCTAGTTTTTTGCTGTTTTTATTTTGTTCTGTTCTTGTTTTTTTTT